TTCACAAAAAAATAATTGAATATCAATTCAATAAAAATTTAATTAATTTTGTACAAATATTTCTGTATATACCATCATAAATATTGAGTCGCAGTAGAGCCCCTTGTGAAAAAGTTCGTAGGGAAGTACTGCCTATTTCTGCCCCCAAGCAGTAATGTGAGCGTTGCTGCGTTGCGGTTTTGAAGGCTAAGGATGCTCGTGAAATTATAGGGACATTGGATTTGTCAACTTATGTCTCAGGTTGCCGGGCACAGTGATAGTGGCCCTTAGATCTTTGCGATTTAAAGCTCTGAGTAACATTGCAATTGTTATGCACAAACGTGTCGCTCACCACCAGGCGCATGACTTGTTTGTCCCGTCACTTTGCATTATAAGAAAAGCTCTATCAGATTCTAAGTTTTGTTATTCTTCGTTTTTATGTTATGACTATTCAAACTCAACAAATACATCAAATTAATTGTTCATAATCTCAGTATAGAGTACTGAAAAAACCGACCTCAAAAGTACGTGGAATTACGTCTATTTGCCAAGGTTTATTGAAATATCCCCTAGTCGAACTATACAGGACTTGACACGAGAGATAACAAAAATTGGTTCTCACTACTCAAAGTATACTGAGAGAGAAAAACGCCTTGAATTGGAGAATGACAAAATCAACCATTAAAATAATTGCTCCTTATAATAAAATGTAGGCGCTATTTATAAAAATGAATCTTCATGCGTGAACAGCCACCCTTAGAGGTGGATATCTTCAAAATCATGAAAATCGGTTCACAAATACCGGAGTTATCGCGTAACACACATACAAAAAAAATACGGTCTGCTGGACAGAAGCTTCTCCCTAAGCATGTCAATTCTCCCTGTCCTGTGCCGCTCACATCCAGCCACTGCCGGCCATCTTTCTCAGATCGTTCGACTCCTACACCACGTTTGCTTTGACGTGGTCGCGACTCTAGAACAAGTCAGCCCCATCGGCCATCAGCCATCCTGCACATGTCTGACCTCATGTCCAATTGAATTGTTAACAAATGTTCTATATTTTACATTAACAGCAACTCTATTCTTTGAAATAAACCGAAAACATGACTGTTTGTACTAGACTGGCAGAAAAGTAAGATCGTTAAAAAAATCGCCGATCATCCCGACGTGACGGTATCCAATATCCCCAAAAAATGGCAAAACAAAACGTCTGTGGCAAATTGTGTTTACGCAGTGATTCAGACGACGACGAACGGTCAGCGAATACAAAGATTTCTTATTTATTCACGGCTAATCCAATATGTTTATCTTCTTTTGTTTTCTTTCGATCATAAATTTCTACCTTTATCTACCGTTGGTAAAACGGTGATGACATTAAAGCCACCATTCGGGTTCGTTTAGCCTTAACACTTATCTATTTTTTCTACTTAATTGTGTATTCACCATATGCATTTGAGCCTAATGACGTCTGTAACTGGACATAACTCTCCCCATTGATGATCATGACTGGTTTGGGCTGTTCGCATAGAGCCGTTTTTCGCAATCTTCTAGTTATGTACCTTATCAATACCCATTGCTTTAAACTAAATAGAATATTACAAAAACAAAATCCTGGAGGATTTATTTAGATCAAGGCAATGTAGCATGAAAGAAAAATTTGATTATGTCAAACCATTAAATAACAAATTGAGATTACTTACAAGTTTACAACCACAAAAGGCATGAAATTGGAATTGGAATTCTTGTTTATCTCTTAGTACAATTACAGAAGTTGATACATGGAATAATGTTATTGAAGCTAAAATGAAGTAAATATGTAATATTTTTAGTCACTTTAAATGTCGACTTCACAAGTCTCATGGTCTTTAGTTTGAATTTGCAAAAGAACATTCTAATTTACGCTATATACAATACAATTTGCAAACATAACCACAGAGCACGAAATGTAGGTATGTTTGAAAAAAAGTATATCTTCCGTAACACTGAACCATTCCGAAATTCAGGCTCACCAATGTAATTAGACAACTTTTCGGTAAAAAGTGTCTTGGAATACTGCACGCCGTTTGGTGCCTTATCTACAAAATCGAGTATTGTAGGCAAGTGTGAGACCTGTGTACTTTACATAAAATTCTTATTTCTAACCTGAATTCTCAGTAGATCGAACACCTGTAGATATTTTTTTACGTATTGCGTATTCCGCAGTTAGTTCAGTTTACCTTTCACAAAAAATAATGTTTCACAAAATGGAACACCATGCGGAATGTGTCGATCGTATATTTCCATCACGATATTTTTTCTGTAATATTAAGTGCTTCAAAACAAAAACGTCTTTCCTTCTATACTACATATTGTCCTAACATGAATGATGTGTACAATTATAAATGGTTGTCAGATTTATAAGGTTAGATATGTAGTAGTTCTAAGAATTATTTGTAGTCTGTTATCTGTTGTTGTACCAGATACAAAATATTCTATTTAGATCCGAAAAATTAGTTTCAGTATACATACATATGTTATTGTCGTAAAGGTGCTCGATTATCAACTTGCACGGTGTATATATACATCCTGATTCTGAAACGGACAAATACTCAGCAAATAAGGGCCGGCGGTCGATACACATAAATAATGCATAGCATGCATAATGCCTGGGGAAATATTGCGGGAACATCTACTTTGAGAGGTTCAAAATAAAATGTAGGACGGGAACCACCGCAGATGGTATGAACGCGGAGTTCATGAATACACTAGATCAAAGTTCGTTGCAGTTGAAACACTTATTTTAATTCCGCTGCATATCCGCTCACGCGATGCGCTCCTTCTACTGCAAAAAGGCGGCTATTTGGTTTCGCAAATTAGAAAAGCATTCAGTTTAAATACAAGTTTTTATAAATAAAAATTATTATTCTGCATTGCTTAATAAATACCCTCCGTACTACCAATAAAAACATTTCAAATAAAATGCAGTAATACACCGCAAATACTGCACTTAAAAGCACTAATGAAATTTTTGGTGTACTTGGATAAATATGATAATATTCAGTTTCAGTGGATCTAACGTTTACCATGAAATTCAGGGTAAACTCAAAAAACGCTACTTACGGTATGTTTTCAATAAATAAACACCGAAATCACCAGCCCAAACAATAACACACGCGATTGTCGTGACGTATTTTTTATTTACGTATTTTCTGAAGTTGTTTATTTTTTTTAAAAGACAGACCCAGGCATTAAAAACTTTATGGTTTGCTAGAGTAGTTACCGAAAAAGCAATTAATATTAGTTCTTTTACCTGTTATAACTTCGATATCCGATAAATCGGTATAAAATCATCACCGGCACCTCTAGGTGTGGTATGCATCTACGGCTGCATGTATCGCGTGAGCGGATATATGTCGTTTGAACGATAAGGTTGTTAGTTAGCAATCTTAAACAGTCTAATATCAGCAAAAGGCAGTAATATAGTGTATTGTAAAATAAAATCTCAATCTCACATATTATTTAGCTTGTCTCGCTTATTGACCTAGGTTTCGTAGCACACTTAAAGAACTTAATTTTTTTTCTTTGAAAAGAAAAATCGATTGGCGTTTTAGCGGCTCGAAACTTTAATTAAAGACTAAATGTTTATATTGGATATAAAGTGTGCCGTTGGATGTAAACAAGCTCGACAAAATTCCAGCTACGGAATTAAAGAAATAAGAGCCAAAAAACACAACAGGCCGTACCCTCGTCACTGTCCCAACAGATACCTACTTTTAATTTAACAGTCTGTTAAACCTGGAAATGTCACAAACCTTGTAATTCCGAAAAGTGGGCTCTGCTTACCCCTAATTTAAATAAAACAAAGAATTTCTATTATTCTAATAATTCTTCTAATTACGACGAAAGCAAATATATGTTTAGAATTAATTATCTTTCAAAATTTGAACATAATGAGAATAATGAATGCAAATGTTAGCATAGTTCATTACAAAATTGTGAACACAATTACGAAACAATTAAAATTTGAAAAGGCAAATTTTAAATTCTGAATAATTTTGAACTAAAAAGTACAGTACAACAATGTGAGTTCCGCATTCATATGTTAACGGAGACAAAAGATATTCTCTCGAAAATAAATGACGCCTATATTCATTGGTCCTTTTGTTATTGTTTCAGATAATGCTCCCCATCTCCATTGAAGCGCGGATGCCTTGAGGCAATATGAGACTCAGCTTTAACGTGGACGCAAGGCTGATTGCCTTGTGCACGACCTGTTTTCTCCTGCCCGCTATCGCTTGCCCCACGGAGTGCATCTGTAAGTGGAGGAACGGGAAGCGGTACGTCGAGTGCATTGAGAGAGACCTCAAGACGATACCCGGCAGACTCGACTCTGAAACTCAGGTCCTGGACTTCTCAGGCAACGATCTACAAGTTCTTCAAAAGGAAACATTTCAAAAACTCGGATTACTAGATCTACAGAAAATCTATTTAACGAGGTGTCGATTGCAGAAGATAGATAATCATGCTTTCAAAGGCCTCGCTAATCTCGTTGAATTGGATCTGTCGAATAATTACTTAACCGTCATACCCTCATCAAATTTTGCCTTCTTTACGTCTCTAATGAAACTCTCTTTGAACAATAATCCAATAACGAGCATTAAATCGCATTGTTTCCAACATCTATCGTATCTAAATACGCTGGAATTGAGCGATTGTAAAGTAGAGGTCGTAGAAAGAGAAGCCTTCGCCGGATTGAATCACTTAGAATGGCTCAGACTGAATGGTAACAGACTATCAAATATTCAAGGCGAAAATTTATTCCCCGACACGCTGCGGGGGATAGACTTGCAAAATAATAATTGGAACTGCGATTGCCATTTGAGAGATTTACATAGCTGGTTGTTGAATTTCAACATGCCTCACGCCGTTGAACCAATTTGCTCGCTCCCTGAGAGGCTACGAAAGCGCACAATAGCGAGTGTGGTCACTGAAGAGCTTGCTTGTATCCCCAAAATAACACCAACCTCTGTGTTCTTAGAGACAAATACCGGAAACAACGTTACTCTCGAATGCTTAGTCAAGGCCATTCCAGAAGCGAAAATATCCTGGTTCTACCAGGGACAAATTATACATAATTACTCAACGATGTCGGTGGAGCCCCGAGACATTTATTATGTCGAAAATGGCGCTACAGACAAGAAAAGTGAATTGTATATATTTAACATAACCAATGATGATAATGGCACTTACTCTTGTGTTGCCGAGAACCCGGCCGGGAGATCTAGGGCTAATTACTCAATTAGAATAATAGTTAAAGAGGAGCCCGTCGTAATTGTGGTCACATTCCCACAGAGACATTTGGTAGTCATAGTTACAGTGGTATTTCTAGTGATAGTGTTGTTAATAGCTATAATAGCGGTTGTTTTGTTAAAATTCAAAACCGATACGAGAAGTCGTAAAAAGAAAGAAAGCGGAAAAGACGTCGCTTTGTGTAATCAGATCTTGCCCTCGAGCCGTAGCAACGGGTCGTTACCCAAAAATAATGGGAGTGTTATAGTGAACGCGCACTCTCATCATGCCTTGCATTATACGCTGCAGACGAACCGTGATTATGAGACGAGTGATGTGTACCAAAGCGGCAACATGAAAGGCTTTGTCGACAGAAACCCTGACCTAATTAGTGACGCGGAAACAGTCGCTAACAATGCACAAAATGAGAACACAGTGTTGTCAGTTTACAAACAAACAAATAACGGCGAGAACTTTGAAGAGGAAACCGCATTCACCGCGCCCTCTGTACCTCGTCAAGTCACGTGGCAGGACCAACAGAGCTTCAACACTGTAAACCTACCGCCGAACACGGTAAATAATCTATACCAGCACTCGGCCGATGTTCACTTAAACCCCGGTTGCTTCTTGGATAGCGATGGCTATCCATATGACTATGGCCTACCAAAACACCCCTGCCGACCGCCAATGATGTCGAACTACTCAGTAGTAGGACCATTCTATCAAACATTACCCCATAATAGGTCTAAAGGTCAGAAACTTGTATGTAAATTTGCAAAAGATACTGAATTCAATGCATCGACCCCACCACCGTGTCCTAATTTTGAGCTATTCAGCGCGCCAAATGTGCGGCGTACATTAGATGGATACCCCGTACCACGCAACCGACAAATCGCTTTTGTAGGAAACGGAACTGTTTATTACAATGAGGAGTTTGTGCCATCACCGCCTGAGGGGTATAAAACAGATCAGGTAGTGCAGTGCTGTGCATCGACCGAGGCTTGCACATCGTGGGTGAGTCCTCCTAAAGGGACTTGTGCAGTGATGGTACCTGTAGGCATCGCTGAACCGAGATGTTATCAAGTTGAAACTCGATGTGTCGATACTCAGACTACGGAATCGACGGCGCGTGTTCCTGGTGAGGGGACCGAGAACGTTCTAAAGCCCCTGCCTCAGGTGTCAAACGCAAAATGCGCGGCGGATATCTGCTCGGAGAGCCCCGATGAAGGTTACGTCGGCGACGCTAACGACATCTGACGACGTCGTCACAACGATAACGCGTAAACAGGGCTATTTAGACGCTAATAAAGTGATAAAGCGACTGAGTATAAAAGTAATATTGTACATAGATTTGATCGAACTCCGTGAGACATCGAGCACTTTGTATGCAGCGCGATCTCAAAAGCCAGGATTTTCAAAGTGGGTAATCATTCATAAGTTAACTCCTTTACTGAGTTCATCAAATAATCGATATCTCACGGAGGATACGTTTCATACTAACAAAATATTATTACCTACATTTTTTAGAAATCAGATCTCAGGGTGCATTCCAATTAGAGTGGTCGAGTGTTTTGGCACTAAGTCAAGCGTATGTTTGTTTGTGCAATCGGCTTTGTTCTTTAACTTTGTTTCCCAATTCTTGCCAAATCGGATAGTCTTTTTTGGTATAACATCGCATTTTAACGATGGGTAGAGTAAGCCAAAACCAATAGCTTGGAACTGCTTGCATTAGGAATGAGGTTGAAAAAGAAATATTCCCGTGTTTCAAGCGCATAATTCTTGCAGATTTTATGCATGCAGAGGGAATTCAGTGTTCAGCTTTTGTACTTTGTGACTGATTACGAAAACAGTTGTAATCTAGGAATAATACATACGCGACTTGTTTGTTTCTATTTTGTAATGACACCGTTTGTGTAATAAGGCCACGTCTGCTAAAAGGAATTTTTCTTAAAAAAGTTTAACAAATTAGTCGACAACTGCTTAAGAGTTTGATTTGAATTTGAAATCTTTCCCGTACAAATACGGTTCACTTTGCTTGGGATAGTAGCTTTATTTCAAAATTGATTTTTTCACAAACCAAATTAAAGCCTTTTGATAAATGTGTATCGTATACTATACATGTTCTATTTAGTTCAGTTGATATTAAAAACGTCATTGGTAGTGATGATGGTTTTTGATATCTATTGAATACGGCAGTTTTCTTCTAAAATTTCGAGGTGTGTGTGTGTGTTTTTTTTCTATTGAAAATTTTTCGGAACATTGTTTTCAGGCAGTATTTTCATTTACTAATCAGTGCACATCCTCAATTTTGCTATAAGTTTTTTCAAAGTGATTGATTCAACACTCCACTGTTAAACGGAATGAACCAAACCCATTTGAAATTGTATCGACTGTTAAAGAGTCATAAAAGTTCCCATATACATTTGTTTCGAGTAGTTTACGACTTTCATATGTTAAAACACACACGTGGCTTTGTTATACCATGAGTACGACATCATGTTGTCTATTTTTTGCTTAACTCATCCCGAAATCACATAATACCTCTCCTTATCCTTGTCATTCGATCCATTAACCTGAACCTCCGGTATTACGATTTATTTTCTTTTTTGTCCTTCTTACGCAACTTTGGTCCTAAATTGGAAAAGGAGAGCATATCATTACTATTCGGATTAAGTGTCGTAACTAACATTAGGTAATTTATTTTTGAGTACCTCACATCTCGAGCTACAGTAAAGTTCTGAGAAAGGTAAACAGCGATTATTAGAGAATGTGCAACAGCACATAGAGCTATAAACTTTTGTTCGAATATGGAGGGGTCCGTCAATGATACGCTGCTGTCCGTACGCTTTTGAAAGCTAATCATGATCGTTCGTCTTAATTACGACAAAAATGCCAGGTGCCACAGTGTGAGTAAAAGGATGATATGATGGTACAGTCACGCGTTTAAATAAGTATACTTGTAGCAAAATTGTGATTATTTTTTTGTCATTGGCAAGAATGTATAATCTCAGTACGGAGTACTAAAGAAACCGACTCCAAAAAATCGACATCTATTTGCTAAGTTTTATTAAATTCGGTTCCTGGAAAGCGCGCGAAACCACTTTTATCCCCTAGTTTGCCAATCTTAGAGGTACCCTCTTTCCAACAAAAAAGAATCAAAATCGCTTCACAAATGCCAGAGTTATCGCGTAACACACATACAAAAAAATATACAGTCAAATTGAGAATATTCTTCTTTTTGAAGTCGGTTAAAATTCAATAAAATTCTGTAAAGGTTATCGAGTTCTTAGGTTTTCGCGATTGTTACACATAGGAAATGAAACTATTTTCCCGGATTTAAATCGCGTATCTGTGTTTTTTCAAACAAACCGACGTCTCGGGCCCTTTACAGGTCCCATGGTCACGGTTGACATGGTTACGGTGAAAATAGTATCATTTCCTATCTGTAAAGGTTTTTGGTGATTATGTAATAGTAATTTTGCAACGTTTATATATATTAATTCAAGTGTCTGAGCTTGTGCTAGTTTCAAGTAGAGTCCGAGAGTAGAGACCTGCATTGCAGCTGCAGCATGGTAATATGTAATTGTGAAATTTCATAAAAAAATACCTTCCACTCAAATTGGCATAACCCTAAAAATGAATTCGACAAATTTGTATTGTTTCTTGTTACGAATATTGTGAATTTTGTACAATTACAATCTGAAAAGTTATTTGAAATTGAGTTTTGGTAATTCGATATTTTCGTTCCAGGCGACGCGTTCAATTTCCGTAATAACGTTGACGGACTGCCTTTGAACTTTGATTACGTGTTTAATTGACTACATGAATCTGTAATTTATAAGTGGTTATGTTAAACTGAAAATGAAAGAAGTGTCAGTGAAGAAGTGAAGTCATTGACCTACCAGGGAAAGCATTTTAACTCAAAAGTATTATTTACATAATAAACGGCTTTCCAACGATCTTCATCTTCACACTGACGTTAAGTTGAATCATAATTTGTTGTTTGTCAAACCACAATCATTGTCCAAAACATCCTTCAGCATAATTGTAAAAAAAAAACACTTTAATACAGTAAAATTTCTCTACATTCTTAAGTAGAAATTACCAATGTATATATTTATTAATTATTGTATATAGATTGTATATAATTAGATTTTTATTATAAATTTTCCGAATGGAATAACGTAGTGGTCTGTAAGTATTGTAAGAATATCAGGGTACCTCCCTTTACTTATTTAAGAGAGTTTCACTAACATTTTTTTATGAGTTATGTGCATAGACGTTTGAAGATTTAGGTGGCTTAACAGATGCGTTGGCGCCACACTAGTAGGGCTATCACGACAGAGCACGACTTGCGCGAATGCTACATAAAGCGTGAGTACCTAAAAATGATTTTTCATACAAAATAAATATTTTGTATGAAAAATCATTTTATAAAATTTTACCAACTTCTACTGTCCCGATTTTTTCGTCCCATACAATAAAATCATCGTTATAGGAAGCTGAGTACATATACATTTTTATTGAAAACACACGCTTGACTAAAAAATTGACTACACAAAAAATTTTTTCATAAAAAAAGACTAAATGGCTTCTAATACAGTTTCCTTGAATCTTCTATGGTTTCGGATTTCCCCATGCTGTCCCATTACAAAAAACACTGTATATTTATATTCACGACATGTCTCCTTTTAAGGTAGGTAGAGACTATGAGCATAGTATAATAAGACAATTAGTGTGTCGCCATACAAATGTAGTAACGCGGCTTGTACGTGTGTGCACGCCCGGGTCTTACCATGAACTCTTATTACAGTTCAGTATAGGTTCGTAATGACAAAATGGATGGTGATATACACAGCGCTGTCTCACAACAATTCATGTTTGGTCCCAAACTGAATCGTAATAAGAGTCCATGGCAAAGCCCCAGGTCGTATTTAAGTAATGTAATTAGAGATCAAATTGGATTTTTTTTTAAACGTCATTCACTATGATGTCATAAGGATAAGGAAGTCATACCTACAATAATTTTATGACTAATAGGTTAAAGGTTAAGTTTGTTTAACACCTTTCTTCATGGTGATCTACTCAAAGCCAAATAGATGGTTCGGGTATCTTTGGACGACTTCCTGTCTGACAACTTCTGCTGTCTCATTTTTGTCCTCTTATACAATGAAAATGAGACGATCAGCACTAAAAAAGTTTTCATAAATTTTATTCACTTTTATAGACGAGTCACGTTTGACCAAAAAATTGACTATGACAAAATTGTTTTCACAAACAAAAAACTTAATGGTTCCTAAGACAGTCTCCTTGTATCTTGTATGGTTTCGGATTTCCTCATACTGTCCCATTTGAAAAAAAAAACAACCTGTATTATATAATTCAGAATATCCTCAATCTGGTTAATTCCTAATTATCGAAAACGTCGAAAACACAATTTCCATATTTCCCGGCAAATTATTACTTTTAATGAAAACTTATTGAGTTCAATTAGTTTTGTACGATTTGCTCAAAATTACATTCGCTCAAAATTAATTGCTAAATTTATTTCCGAATGAGCTTATTTGCAAAGCAATAAATGTATCTACTTATTCGTAAAAATTATTCGTAAACCCTTTTACTCATAAGTGTTACAGTGTATTTTAATTAAAGGTAAAATTTGGTATGAAGGTGAAATGATAATGTAAGGTAGACAAAAATAAACTAAATTATTTACTCATAAAAATACTTGTTCTGAATACAATAGTAATCTTCTACGTGACCAGCAACCATAATACTTGAAGCCTCTCCCAGTTGAAAGTAATTAGTCATGACAAAAAAATGTATTAAGAATGAACACCTCCCTTTATAGTAACATCTCCAAATATTATAAGTTGTAAGTCAAGTCAGCTTTCTGGAATAACGGCCTTTTTTAAAAATATCTCATTCATAAGGAGGATGCTAATGCGCTGGCCACACCGCGTACGAAGCTAAGCCAACTTAGCTTAGCACACATAGCCGAAGTATCTTTTCATACTTCGGTTCACAACGCGAACCTCCTAGGATACTTTTCCGACGCGGGGGTAGCTCTAGTGGGAGGGATCCAGGATCGACTTTGCGCACCGGAAACCTCCAGCGCATAGGAGGTGCTACGTGCTCCCCTTCCCTCCTCACGACGAAGCGTTCGTTCTCGGTGTGGCCCGCGCTGTAATAAAAATTAAGGCGTATTATACATTATTATTACTAAACAGTCTTATTTATTTTCATTAAAATAAAGCACATTCTGAATACAGACAAAAGTAACGTTTTTTGGTCAGGCCACCATTTCGCACCCATGGCGTAACAACGCCACATCTGCAAAGTGACAACTATTTATCAGTGAGATTTAACGAGTCTACGAATTAAGTTAATCGATATTTTTTTATGATTAATTCGGAGACATAAATATTTCACATAAACATAATTTGTTTCATACTCATTTTATCACTTTCAACGTATGATCACATGTGGTTTTATCATACCATACATTTTTAGAAAGCATACATATGATATTCACCGTATTTAGTCT